CTCCCTTAGAGCTTCCCAAGCAGTCAGCCACAGATGGGTTGGGTGTGTGGGGCTCTTGATCTTCTTGGCCCCAGGGGCTGAGTCTTGGGGCAGCTGGAATCCCCCTGGCTGGTTCCCTCAATGTCCTTGTCATTTGCTGTGTGTATTAAGTCATGAAAACAATTAGGAAGCTGTGGTTAAGGGAAGGAGCAGATTTTAAGAGGCTTCTAAGTGAAAATGTCTGGTGAGCTATGGACACATGTCTCTGGAGGCCAGATGAGAAATCTGGGCTGGAGATGAGTCATCAGCAACTGGCAGTTATTATAAACAGCTGATAACCATGGTGACCTTCTGGGGAAGGACCTGAGTGGATGACGAAGGAAGACTTCTCTGCATGGTCTCTCGGCCTTTTGTTCCACATGCATGTTTCACACATCCAAAAATATAAATCGGTGGACAGATAGATGTCAATGGTTGGATGGATATTAACGTTTAACTGCCATTGGAGAGGGACAGGGTGAAGATGGGGGGCAATGAGGAGAAAGATCCTCAAGACAGCATAGCAAACAAGCCCCGGAACATGGGATCAGCTTCAAACAGAAAGTGTCTTGCTACTGAGGTCCAAGAGAAGGGAAGAGGTGAGGGGTGTGGATGCAGGGAAGAGTCTAAGATGGGGAGGCTCAGAACAAAACAGGCAGCAAGGCCAGGCCCCCTTGACTAGGAGAAAGGCTAGGGTCATGAAGAAAGAGGTGAAGGTTTGGAATAACTGTTAAAAGGAAAGAAAAGAAGGACAATGGAAAAACCACAATTTTTTTTTTGTAGAACTGAGGGCTCAGTGGAAGTTAGAAACTTAATTTGTAAGTGACTCCACTGTGCTTTTGTGTGATTCCCTTCCTGGAAACAGCAGTGGAAACCTAGGTGCATGACTTATAGTAAACCCTGAAATATGAGAGTGTACTGCCACCCCTGCTAATAGAATAAATGCAATTAGAATAAAAGTAACACTATGCTGTATTCCAACAAAATTCTGAGTATTTCCATTATGACTTATTTGGAATATCAAATTATTTCCCCAAAGTTTTTATTTTTCTTGTCTTTTTTTCTCATATTTCTCTTGTTTTACTGGCACCTTAAATGGGTGCTAAAGTGATTTATTTGGTCATTGGCATTGAATATGGAAATGGAAAATGAGTACAACTTTGTTATTTTAGTTAGCATTTTGGAAGGAAAGAGGTGAGGCAAAGAAGTTGAGGATAATTACAAGAAAGCTGATGAAGTGATGGACTGACTACAGGGGTATAGATTGGATAAAGAAGGAAGCAATAAATAGAAATAAAACAAAAAGCTCCAGGCAGGGGCGAAATTGAAAATATCTAACAACCAGTATGGTACAGATGTCAACCAATTAAAACAATTGCTGTCTCCCAGAATGGATTAACTCATATAAAGAAGCTGGCAGGAGATAGGACTGGCCTTGGTTCAGACCAGAGAAAGTTTAGGTTGGTCAAAGTGGGGGAAGTGGAAGGGAGGGCAGAGAGACCACGAGGAAAAGAAGTTATGGGCCGAGGGTGGGCTTTGGGAATTCTGACTCAGTTCTGGCTGGTGGTCAAGTTACCACGAGTGGGCCAAACCAAAGCCCAGAGGCAGAGCAGAGGCGGAGGGTGCAGGCGTAGAATTCTGATGAACAGCTGCTTTTAATGCAAACTCTTTTATTCTCGGAATTTAGAGGCCCTCCG